AGTAGCAGTAGCAGTAGCAGCAGGACAGCGAGTTCATGCGAACAACGATGCAAATTTATCTGTATGATAAGGTCCATAGTATTGGTCAATCCCTAACAGTAGGTTGTTTGCTGCGCGTTTCAGCTCAGGAAGAGTTTGCAAGCCCAGCTGGCATCAGGCCTTGAGCGCGGTCAAGCTCCAAGCAACTTTTGCGCAATATCAATGCAGGTCACCCTTGTGACGGGACTCCCATCATAGTCAAAGACATGGTGCGGGCAAAAAAGCAAAGACAAATACATCTCGGATGTCGCTCCAATGTGACAGGTGTTCGCTGCAACCTCCTTCCTTTCGAGCTGGCCGCCCGAGTTCCCAGAAGACTTCCCGGAGTGCTGGGTGAAATACGCAGCAGATTTGTGTTTGTGCAAGCTTACATGAGAGAACTGCTTGCAGTCCCATCGCCACAGTAGTCGTTCCGGCAACATGTGTCCAGTTGGCTGACCCTGCCGAGGTTCAGACGTGCCGGGCTTCCTTCCTAGTGTCCGTGGCAGTGACTTTGCTGAGATTTGCCCCATGACGTGGTAGATTTTAATATTTTGCTGCTCTTCCTCAGCTGCTGGCCTCGTTCCGCCATGCTCTTGTGTCTTCAAATTCAATGTCGACCCGGACTAATGAAGAAAACCACTTGCATTGAGGGCGTTATAGTGTTCGGATGCCGACAAAAATCCTCGCAATTAAGCGATGGGGTATGATTGGGTCTATGACTCAGGGGTCAGCATCAACACGCAGGGACGTGGCTCGTCCACGCGATTTTGCTGCTGTCAGATCAAGGGCTGATCAGTGCAGCAGACATGAGACGAACAGAACAGCACAGAATCCGTCCCCAGGAGTTGGTGTTGTGACGAACTGGGCAACAGTTTGCGAGGCCGGAGAGAATAGTTGTGTCGGCGCTCGCAGACCAGCCATCTTGTCGTTTGTGTTTACGGCCAGTGGTGCTCAGATTTCAAGCGTCATGCCAGCGCAATTCCTGGCAAGTGAAGCGTGTTACCCAAGTGCATGTAGGAGCTGCACTTGAAAGACTGCCAGCAGAAGTTGCACTTGCCAGTCCTGGGTGATATTCAGGCCTGGATGCTATACACCCTCAGTGGCTGACCGTTCGCTGAACTATCTGATTCTGTCGCCTGCTGTAGATGCTGCGTAATCGTAAGTGCAGCACTTGCTATGGACGCTGACACAGCCAGGTCAATGGTGCGACACTTGGCGGCCAAAAGCAACTGCTGGTTAGCTTTCGGGCTCGGTCGACTAGGCATAGAGTTGAAACTGTCGGCTTTCCTTTAACACCATTTCCCAGCTCTGAACTTCAATGCGGGCTTTTCTTCTTCCAGAATATACCCGACCAGCTTCGAGGAAGTCCTACGGTTGATGTGAATTCACACCTTTGGATCAGACGTGCAATTGCGGAGGCAGTTGCGGTCGCAGAACGTGCTATGGATTGCTTTCCAGGTTTTTCCTGCGCGATGCGTGATTCTTCGTGCTGCGATTTTTTCTCAACAGCGGCAGAAGAAGTGGAAGGGAAAAGGAGCTGAAGGAAGCCACCTACTAGCAGCAAAATGCTTCCGTTACACCATAAACACTTGGGCAATAGGAAGGATCTAGGTGAAGCACCTGAGTGCCGTCAGGGCACTCCGTGCTTGTGTGGTCAGAACTCCGGCAGTTTACGGTCGCTACCGGGCCTCAGCCTGCAGTGTGGGAACTTTCTGATTCGATCTCCAAAGCTGTGCACCGGCAACTGGAAAAGTCTGTCGCGATCACGTTGGTAAATGGTGGACTTGACAGATGCCACCAAAAAGGTTGCATCTCGCACAGCTGTGCGTGTCAGTATGTCAGCCTCGTTGTTCAAGCACGGCTCGCAGCTGTGCATGACACTGGACCGCCGTGTCGCGAAGCATTGACTGCTTGAGTGTTAGTTGTCTGATGGCAGGATTGTGCTTTCCAATGCCTTTCAACCCGGTTCGGGAGCTTGGGATACGGCGAGCGAGCACCTGTTGTGAGAGTTTTGGGAAGCACTTTGGCCTTGTCTCTTGGTGGTGATGCCTCAGGGCAAGAGATGGCAACAGTCGTACGCATCAGATGGCATGATGCTGGTTGCTAGTGACACTGCGCTTTTCCAATACAGCTTCTGTCTCAGCCTACACCTGTGTCTGAGGATGATCATCTTCCGCCCGGCGCCAGGCCAACGGTTTGCATGGCAGTTGTCTTGGTGCACCGCTGATCTCGAACTTAGTAACATATGACATATGTCCTGCCATGTTCTACCTGATCATTTCGTTTTCATGACTTTCCCGAGTTCGGGTTTGATCACACCTCTGCGTCTTTCTCCCGGGTCCTCCGCCTGCAGAGTCGCAGACGAGTCAGAGGCATAGAACAGAGAGGAAGAGGCATATGCCCTCGGATTTCAGCCAAGAGAGCCCTAAATAGAGACGGACCAGACGGGATCCCCCAAAGCAGGGGGCCGGAGTAACTCCCCGTCCCTTGGGCCCCCTGAGGCCTTTTAAGAACATGTCACTTCAGTGCCAGCCTCTCCTGCCTCTGGTGAAGTTCGTTATTCCGAATGGCCGTAATACAGAATTACCTCGCTTCCAGTCCAAGAGTTTTGGCATGAAGCAAACACAGGCCCATGTCGAGTCTTAAATGCTTCATGTTACATTTACGTTGTTTTGTTGGATCGGCAGCGAAGCAAGACTCGGGTCACGAGTGAAGGCGACCACTCCGTGGAATGCTGGCAGACCGCCGAGGAACTCAGTTCACACTTGACGTCATGTTTCTGCAAAGCGGGGCGGTGGCCTCGGCACTGCCACGAGCGCCGAGCGCCCCTTCAACCGAACGTGGTCTCTGCGGCGTGCGCCCGTCAAGCCTGGTGAGAGAGAGAGAGAGAGAGGACCCTCTCAAGATCTCTCAAGCCTGGTCAAGCAAAAGGGTCCTCCAGAAAGAAGAAACGGAGGAGCAAAGCAGAGAGACGTGTCAACTGCAAATTGCTGCGAGCGGGGATGCTACCTGTGGCAAGTCTCGGATGGGAATAATGCCTGACCTGAGACGTGATATTCAGGCACTGCAGAGCAGTGACTGTCACACGGACCAGTGGAAGATAGTGTGACAGCGACAGAACCGGGGGAGGGGACTCGGAGGGGTATCTTCAGATGTGCGTGGATGTTGCATTGCATCGTTCTGTCGTTCTCCCGAGCTGTTTGCCTTGCCGGTGCAGCATTTCCTCCCAGTTCATTCGTGCAAGAGCACGGCCAGGGCTGCTTTTGCAGACGTGCACGAGGATTTATTTCTTCCCGTGCGTGCTTGCATGGCATTCATTCATTCTGATTTCGATTTCTCTGTTAATCAATCTCTCCAGATCATATGAAAACCTGTGACATGCAGTTACCTCTTGCAAGCGTCATCCGATGGAGGCAAGCTCGGGGTTGTCATTGGCGAGAGGCGACTCTTCCCAAGGCGGCCGTCAGTGGAGGTGATTCGCAGAATATGCTGAAAAGCGAGTCCAAGCCGCGTCATCCGCGTCACTTGCAGCAGACTTCATTCGGTGTCTTCCTTGTCAGAGAGATCGCTTCGCTAGATGGCCGAACGATGGAAAGGTCCGCTCCTCCGCAGCCAGATACATCAAACAACATGCAAGCACATGAAAAACAAGAATAGACCTTGGCGAAAACCAGTCGTAGCACCCGTGCAAGCACAGATGCGATCAGTTGCCGGCAAGCAGTCCACCCGACCTAGAATGATCATCTTGTGATCTTGTGCTTATCCAAGCCTCGGTGCCCAAATCACAGCTGAAGCCTCGTACTCTATCCCATCATCACTACACAGTAGTGATTGAGCGCGGGACGCCAAATCGGCGCCTACACTCTCAGGCCTCCGTGTAGTTTTGCGTTGGTGTTGGCTGCCGCTGGTGTTTGGAAGATACACTCCTCCCGAAAGCCTTATCTGGGGTTTCAGGATATGAGGCGATGCAGCAGTACTACCTGATCTTGGGAGTGTTGTAAATGTGTCAGTCAGCAGATGTCCTCTTCATAAATCGTGATGACGAGAGTATTGCTGAATGTAGTCGTGACAACATGCAGACAACAGCAACAGTACAAACACGCATCAAGACAAGAGCTAACGTTCAAGATCCCCAGCAGCAGCAGCAGCAGCAGCAGCAGCAGCAACGGCAGCCACAACAGTAGTTGCATTGAGCAACCTTGCAACACTGTAGCAAGTTCGTAGCAACTACCACATGTACCATTCATGGGGTGCCAGAAACACGGTAGAAGAAAGGGAAGACGTCGAGTTGAGGCGGTTCGAGCGACAGTATTGAAGTGAAGGCGGCTCAATAGTCGAAGAGGACGATCACGTAATGACGAGCAAATCCAGCAGAGGGACTAGGAACAAGAGCAGCAGCAACCTCAATCACAGGTACGACGACCATGATCGTGCTTCCCACAAGTAGTATGGCAGAGGATCTTCGCAACGCTGCCCGGACCCGTAGTCGTGAACAACCGCACAAGCGACGTGGGCACGATGACGTTCACCAAGCCGCAACCGCCCCCAAAGTAGGAAAATGAAGGGTAGGAGCTCCGGAGCCAGGAGCTGCTGGTGCAGCCATGGCTTTCCAGTCGCCACATCGGTGCTCGGGAGAGATGGGCTTAGCACGTGCTCAGCAGCTGCCATGCATTGCCATGCCATGGATGGACTTAGATGGAAGTTTGTTCCGTGTCACTCGCCTCAGGCAGTAGTGCAGTTTGCCAAGATGCAATTCGCCGGGTGTCGTTGCGCGGTATGATGCGCTGGGCATGTGGAAACTCAAAGCTGGTATCAAGGATGAGGAGCAGATTTTGTAGCTGAAGCTCCAACTGCTATGCGGCTATGCGATTGTAGGCATCGCGTGAGCCTGCGAGCTTAGACGGTTGGAGTATGACCCGGCCAACGAATATGAGCAAGCAGAGAGATTGAGCCATGGACATCGGCCATCACCGTGACATGCGACGCCACCGTCGGCTGCTGTTGGCCACCGGGCCTTAGCCGGCGCGCACCTGAGCAATGAATGCCTTAAGATATTGGAGCACTTTTCCTGCACGAGTCAGGCATGCAGATGGACGTGGCCGGCACAGCAAGCAGGGTGGCGCCAAGTGAGGAGGAGGGCGGCACGGGCGGCACTCGAAGCGACGAAGAAGAGTCCGTCTTCAGTCCCGCACCTATTTTTCCGAGCTGTAGATGCATGCAATCCCCCTGCATTGAGCCGCCACTCGCCTCGCTTTCTGGAAGCTGAAAATTCCCTCTTTGAGGTGAGGATTTCGATGAGGCTTGTTGGCAAGCAATGCTCTGGAAGTCATCTCTACGCGGCACATGAATGGTTCTATTTTCCACATTGGCTCTCGTGCAGACACCGTTCTGGGCATCATTGAGTATCGGGTGTACGCGTGCCGTTTGTCTTCTTGGAACGACACTAAGGACGACGGCAGCGAGGCGCGGTATCATTCTTGTGCGCACGGTGCAGCCACCCGATTACTCTTGCGAGTCTTTCCTGTCATTTGCATGCAGCCTGTTGACCTGGACTGCGTTGCCCCAAGCCTGGCTGAACAGCCTAGTCCATCATGCTGCCGCTGTGCGTCGAGCAATAATGCAATGTAAGTCAGGCAGCAGCTAAGACGGCGGGGCAACGATGACTGGTTGGGGGTTCATGGGACTTAGTAACCTTATAACCCTACATGGACTTATAAGTAGTTATAAGTGTAGTTACCTTATTCATAACAATAGTTACTAAGTCCCATGAACCTCTAAGTGCGACCACCACTAGCAGAACCATTACTGCTGCCACTACGATGACGGCCGCCTGCTGGTGCTTGTGTGTCATAAGATTTCGATACAGTTGTTGCACAGGACCCGTACAGCGAGCCGCAAAGTCCGCTGTATAGTTACTATGATGGTCATTATTATGATTATTATTAGTAATTACTATTATTACTTTTCTTCTTCTTATTTTCTTTGTATCATCTATCCCGTTCCAGTACCCTTTTCTCCAGGATCCGGACCTGCCACAAGTCCAAGACCCCGGCCTCGTCGGGATGCTGCCCGGGCCTTAATCGATGGCAGTGCTTCCGATAAGATTGGGAGTTTCCGAAAGTAAGGGACCCTAATATAGTACCCTAAATAATAGGATCCTTATTACAAGGACCCCAAAATAAGGTACCCTAATTTTCGGAAACCCCCAGATGTTGCATGGGGGTTTTCAAGGAGTCGCTTGTAGAGTGGGGTGAAGAGGCTTACTCGGCCTTTAGGGTTTCTAGTCTGAAGGTTCCAGGGTTTCAAGGCTTTCGGGTTTTAATGGCTTGGGGCGTAGGGCTTCCGTGCTCAAGTCTACTCATAGCTAGCATGAGATGCAACTCTGAAGACAAAGTCTATCAGGAATACTAGTAGTACTAGCCTTGCCTCTTGTCCGAGGAATTTCGCTCTGGTGGAAGAGCTCAGTCCGGATATTTCGAAGGCAGACTGCTCCCGCAGCTTGTTCTTGCATGCACTCGTACTACGCTGGTATTGCCGCATCTCTCGACCATAGAGAGATCGTCACAGTCGGTTGGCAACCCTTGGCCAGGCAGTGCACCTGTCAGACTGCCTCGAGGGCTTTGGTGGTTTGGCTGCACCTAAAGGAACGCCAAACTCGGAAATCTCTGCGTAGAGATGTGCTTAGAATTTCAAGCCCAGGCAAGCACTGGCAGGGGCAGATCACCGGCGGTTTGGGCCACAGCCGGACTGTGCAGGACACAGAGTCGCCCAGGGTAGCTTAGTGATATGTAAGCCTCGACTCCTCAGAGACTACACCGCATCCTTCTCTCGACCTTATTCTGCATGCCAAAGCAATGAGGGAGTTTCAGAAAATTAGGGGTACCTTATTTTGGGGTCCTTATAATAGGGATCCTATTATTTGGGGTCCTTATAATAGGGATCCTCTATTTTCGGGAACCCCCATGAGGGATTCCATGTTTCAGGAGAAAGCTCGGCAGACAACGCAGATTGACGATTTCATCTCTCACGACTGGTCGACCAACGGCACAGCGAGACGCGGCTGAAGCAAGTCAGGAGCTTTTTGAAAAAGTGTGATATGGTCACGGTCTCTGACTATATTTGTGAGAACTTGTCGATACAAGTTCCAACCACGATGCTACTGGTTCTTGCCAGTTGGTAATTGGTAGGCTTTCTGCTCAACGCCATGCCATCGCATTTCCGCAGAAGCTTTCAAAGTAAGAAGGTGCAGGCAGCAGGCATGTGCAGATACAATAAAACAGTGATAGATCAAAGCTGACAGCCGCAGCTCGACACAGAAACTGAGGAAGTTTATCACTCTGCGGCTTGTTCGCATTATGTTTCTCAGTTCAGTTCTGTCTTCAACTGGTTCATTGATCCCGTAGCGTCAGTTCAATTAGTCGATCCCCCAAAAGTTTCCTTCCAAAATGCACATTCTTCACCTTGATCGCCGTGTGTAGAGCCATATCCATGTGGACCAGGTGCACGCTCTACAACGCAAAACCGGCGATCATCATTGTGCCTTGCTCACATTGTATGCGATTGCGATGCCCCACGGTAAGGACTTGCAGTTCTTGGAAGAAGTGTTGAGCAATCAGTATGAAGGACGTACCTGTCCGTGAGCACAGTGGACCTTGTTACCAGCCGTGACAGCCTGCAATGCAGGGACGCGGGTTCAATTTACATGATCTTTTACCGACTGCCTAAGTCACATTCAGTGTTGGTTGTTATAGCAGTTGTTGTCTTCTCGACAACGAGTTCAATTGGGGGAGATACTTGCTGTAGTCGTTTTCAAGTCTGGAGGATGCCAGGGGGAAGTGTCAGCATCTGTCGGTTACCGGCTGTCTGCGCCCAAGGCCATTCTGGCTGCAGCCTCAGCTGGCAAGTACCGATGCCGGGCGATGGAATTGGCGGGTCGGTAAAGCAGTGCGCTGGTGTTCTGGGAGGATTCGTGTGTTCGGTTCTTGCGACAACCAAGGTCTCCGTCGCTGGGGGAGTTCTGGAAACAGTCTTTGAGGAGCTCCGATTCTTGCCAGGGCTCTTTGCGGCTTGGCATGGCATGTGGCGCGATCGTGGCGAACATGCCAATTTGCCCTCGAACAACTCTTGCGTCTGGTGCTCCAGGTTTTCATCGGACGTGAGAGGATGGAAGTACCGTCAGCAGGCAGGCGCTCCTACACATCGTGGAGAGCTGACTATTGCGGCAGGGAAGCAGATGCATGCGTTTGAGACGAACATGAAAAGTTTCAGACTGTAGCGGCTTCTGGGATGTTGTTCTGTGCTGTGTCTATTTCTCCATATTGTGCGTGTTTGTGCTTCAAGCATTTTTGCCAAGACAGGGAGGGAGGCACATGATCCTTTGTGTTCGTCAGTCGCCGCGGTCTGTTCTTGCTGCGGGGCTGCATTTGTCATTTGTCGCCAGGATGCTTCGGGCTCCTCTGTGGTATGTGTTGCTTGGCGTCGCAACGAACCGCTCTGCGCAACTCTACATGTTTCACCGATTTGTACACGGTTTGCAAGAGCTGCCTGCAAAAGGTTCGTATGTGCTGACGTTGTGCTTCTGGCAGCGTGTGCAGCATGTGGCTTCATGGCTGCATGTGGGTGTCATGCCGGAAACGCATCACAAGTGTGCTTGCTCGGGGAAGGTTGGACAGCAAAGAGCCTTCGTCAGGTTTTGAAGCTCTGCTGGAGTGCATGAATCTGAGTAGTTCGTAGGCCCGAACATTTGCAGGTTTGTGAAGGTCGGGCACATGCCGCAAGCACGGAATGAAAGGTGATGCTTCCTGGGGAACCAATCGGCGAAATTTGATAGCTTATCAGACTCGTGGTCCCTGCGCATGCATCAACACAGTACGTTTCCACAACTCCCTTGACAGATTACACCCCTGGCTTTGTCAGTGATGATTTGCAAGCTCGCCCCCTCGAAGCGGGCGAAGATGGGAGAAATCCTGGGATCGGAAACGAGCGAACTAAGAGATCATGGCTCGGTGTAAAGAAGTGTGAGCTTGCAAGCTCGAGAATAAGATTAGGCGGGCTCAACCGCATCAGTATGTAGCGGGAGAGCCGTTTCCTTGTTGGGCACTAGTGCAATCGGCCTCACGAGCGTGCTGCGAGTCAAATCGGACCAATCTTCGCTGGTATCAGCGTGCAAGAGGAACGGGAGGAAACGGAAAGGAGGAAACTTGCTGTTCTTGGGACATCAATTGGCAGGGCTTATGCCATCCCAGCATGAAACAATGGAAGCAAAACGCTTCATCTTAACGGTACGAACCAAACAAGAAACATCCTTTGAAACCCGAAGAATCCAAGCCAGAAGCATATCATCATGACGAAACTGCCTCGAACACGAGAGACCGGACTGATTTCCGAACCCAAATGACTTCATGTGCTTATGCCGACTATGTGATCAGCACTGACATGATGCTTTTTGATGATTTGAAGAAACACATCTTCAAACCTACGGACAAGGATTCCAACAGACATCTCCTGATCACACAGCCCTGGAAACAGGCCAAAAGACGCTACTACCTCAACTGCGAGAGCGACCCAGCTGGTCGTATCTTGCGTATGCTTCGTCCCCCACTTCCAGCGGCCATCACTTATGAAGCTACAGAATGCTTGACATGTTGCAGAAGATACAGGAGCCTTCCTAATCTTAACGACACCACAATTGACCGGTTGAAACCGGAGGACTAAGAATACCATTGAAGAACACAGCTTTTCGGAATGCCGGATGGAGAGACCAAAATCTCTCGGAGATTGTGTCGTCGAAGTGTCTCCTATTGCAAACACTATCCAACAGAGCTTCTTCCAGCCGACCAATTTGCATGATACAACACCCAGTACATTCTGGTCTCATTTTACCTTTGACACGGGTTGAAGGGCGACACAAACACTTGCAAGACATCACAGTATTCCGAAAAGGCACAGGCACTGTGCAGTCTGGAGCCATATCAATTTCGGACTCGGCTTTCCTGAAGACAGAGTCGATACAACATGGAGGTTGAATGTCAACAGCTCTCTGAAGGAAACTCTTGAGCTCTTGCAAGTTCTTGACGAAAGCTTCACGTGCTTTCCGTTTCGCACACCGATGGGCAAGCTCATTGCCATGCGTCAGGTATTCAGGCTGTGCTGTGTAGCCTCGTGGAACATGGGCCCTCACTTTGACGCAGGTACTGTTGCGGTTCGGTCTTTTGTGGACCTCTTCAAGAAAAGCGGTCCACAAATCGTGATTGTCAAACTTGGCAATATCCTCATAACGATACCCATGTTGCTTAAGAGATGTCGCCCTGTCGACAACACCTGCGCAGTCGCTGACCAGTGTAACCGAACCGTGAGTAAGCTTAACCGCCAAGACAGCGGCAAACAGCTCAGCACATTGGAAGTCAGGTCCCTGCCCGGCAAAAGCACTGATGTTTCAAACTTCCCTGGGACCGCGACAGCACCTGCCACGGAACGTAAAGCTGGCCACTTTTCATGAAAAGCAGACCCGTCCAGAAATAACAGGCTCAGCAACTGAGAGGGTCTCAGAAATCTCTAGCGGCGTGTGGAACACCTGCCCCTAAAACCAAAAGCTCCGAAAATGCTCATGCGATGTCGAGAAACCTGGCCAAGAGCGATGAACATACCACGAACAGACCCCCAAGCCACGAAACAGACGCGAGTGAAACAGTGAAACCCCGGAACCCATGAATGTGTCCTCGAGTCCCTGAATGACAGCAGCTGCACGTGTTCCTTTCCTATTGTTGACACCGGTTGATGAGCTGAAAGGCTTCACATGCTAGCGCCGAACAACGATGTTGAACCTTGCAGGGTTCCGCTTTTCTGATGGTAATATGATAATATGGCACTTCCAAGCATCCGCATCCACCCAATTGAGGTTTGCCGACGAAGCCGGAAAGTCTTCATGGATAGGCCCGCAGTGGGTCGTTGCATGGCACCGAGGTGCACAAACGATAGACTCGCAAAATATCGTAAGCTTGCCAAGCTCACCGAGTCACGGCGGACTGGATCAAGATGGAACCATCGCTTTAGCAATGGCAACCGGTGCAAGTGCTGCAGGCTTTGCATTGATCAGAACGATCAGACATTGACCCTCTGCTGCATCCAGAATTGTGTCGCAAGGGTAGATGATCAGCTTGACCTGCCGACAGAGTGCCTCAATCGAACACGAATCCCTCCATCGCAGGCGAATGGAATTTGGGCCCAAGTGATGCAACTTTTTTAAGTTTACGCAGCAAGTAACTGACGCGGCTGATGCTCTCAGGAAGCAGAAAGGCATCATGGGACTGGCTGGCTTTCTGAAGCTTCTCGGCATCTGTGTCCCGCACATACTTCCGTGTGTTTAGCATGGGTTTGATACCAACATCCAAGGCTTTCCAAGCGCTTGGTGGTTCTTTGGAGCCCGAGGCGAGCAAAGAGCTAGCATCACGGAGTTACGGGGTGAATCGAACATAGTGGTACAACTCAAACCGACATGTATCAATCCGGCTGTTGATTCATTGTCAACGGGCAGGTTCCGTGACAGGCAAATCCGGCTCCTCCTGCCGTCCCGAGTACCGCGGAAATTTCGATGGTGACATGGTGACAACCACTATGATGATAAGATTGCAATCAAGAACCACAATGGGGACACAGTGAACAAAACATGCAAAATGAAGCAATAAACACAAATATATCACCACTGCCACCACCAACAACACCACCAGCAGCAGCGCCACCACCACCGCCGCCGCCACCACCACCACCACCAACAACAACAGCAACCAACAACTGCAACAACACCAACCATCCGACCGACTGACTGACCGACCGACCGACCGACCAACCAACCACAACAGCCACAACCACAGCAACATCAACAGCAGCAGCCACAACAGCAGCAGCAGCAGCAGCAGCAGCAGCAGCAGCAGCAGCAGCAGCAGCAGCAGCAGCATAAGCAGGAGCAGCAGGACAGGGCAAGCCGAGGGTTTCCTCCTGGAAGGGTTTACGTTTTAGGATTTCGAATCAATTTGAAACCGTTTAGAACTACTTTCTCTGGGATGTCCATGTTTTCTGAACGTCCCAGGCTGTTGAAGAACTGATGGTCCAGTGGTTGACAATTGAGACCTCTTACATCCAAACCGAACGTAGGCAAGCCCTCTAAGGAACCGCCAGACGAAGCCGAAAACTTGCGGCCACCTGGGCAACGAACTGAACCCTAAACCCCTAAACCCTAAACCCTAAACCCTAAACCCTAAACCCTAAACCCTAAACCTCTAAACCTCTAAACCTCTAAACCCTGAACCCTAAGCCCCAAACCCCTAAACCCTAAACCCCTAAACCTTAAACCCTAAACCCTGAACCCTAAACTCTAAACCCTAAAACCTAATATGACTCCTTGACACAGGGTTCAGGGCCGGGGCTCGTCCGTTTTCAAGCATGTCGAGGCTTGGGTTAATCCTGCAAGTAACATAGCTCATGGGGGCCTTAATAATTAGAATAGGGCTTGCAGGTCCATTATACTATACTAATAATAAGGACCCCTCCCCCCCCCAAAAAAAAAATGAATAAGATAAGCAATTACTACGGCCCCTATATTAAGCTAGCGCGGCCCAGAGGACCCTGAACCCTAAACTCTAAACCCTAGAGGACCATAACTGAATACGGTGGAGCAGTGTGATAAAGAAAAATTCTTTAATAAGAAAATAGAGTCTCGAAGCTCGTCAGATTAAGAAATCCAGGCTCTCACACCGGCGGAACCTGTATCAACAGCCCCGAACCGACAGTCCCCCATCATAACAAAAAACCCCTTAGTAAGGGTTTAGAGTTTAGGGGTTTAGGGTTTAGGGTTTAGGGTTTAGGGTTTAGGGTTTAGGGTTTTAGGGGTTAGGGTTTAGGGTTTACTTGGAGGGTCGGGAGANNTATAAGTCTATAAAATAACCATCTACTAAGTCCCCCGACCCTCCAAGTAGGGTAAGACCCCGCCCCCAAAGAGATGACCGACTCTGGTTGTTTCTGGTTTCGGATCTCGCTGCCTGCAACGACTCGAAAGCGTTCTCGCAGGGGCTGACCGCCCAGAGACTCCAAAGCAACTTCGGTAGGGTTAGGGCTGAGTTGAGGGTTGAGGGTTGAGGGTTGAGATTTTAGGGTTTCGGGGTATACTCCTTCAACTGTATTATGGACCCTTATTCTGGTAACCTTTAGGGAAGGAATATTGGAGCCTCAGGGTTGTACTTCTCAGATTCTCCGGCCACTGGCCGGTGCGGTTGAGATCAATATGGCTATTCAGGTCACTGCCAATCAACTCGCTGGAAGCTCAAGAACCCTAAACCCTAAACCCTAAACCGTGGCACTGCAATGATAGAGGCATGCAGGTCTGACGACATCGTGAACAACATCAGCAGCAGCAATGCCAGAAGCAGTAGCAACAGCAGCCATAGCAGCGATAGCAGGAATGGGACTGAACATAGTGTCCAAACCTAAGCCTAAACCCAACGGTACGTTGCGAGAGTGACAACAGCAAAGATGAGAATCTTTGGCATACCGCAATCATCTTCACATTGTGACGGCTGTAGTTGTTCTGTCGTGGGAAATAATTCCGCTCGCGCAATGCGACTATAATTGGCATACTTGGCCTAATACTAACAGTCATCGTTGGTATTACCAACACTGGCATTGTGCTTCTTGCTATCGTGGCCGCGATGCTCTTGTTCTGGATAATCGCATATCTTCGTCCCCCGTCCAGTTTTATTCTCCCTATGAGAGTCTTCCTCCATCGACTGGCAGCTTGACATCTCGCCTTCAGAAACTTAGGAGGAGACGGCCTTCTGTACATGCCGGAAGCAAGTCTGTACACAGCTTTACACGTTCGGCCCTTGGACGAAACGACAGCCGGCTGGTACCATGTTTTACATTTTAGGGTTCCGGGTTTAGGGTTTAGGTTTTGGGGTCCCTAAACCCTAAACCTTAAACCTTAAACCCTAAACCCTAAACCCTAAACCTTAAACCCTAAACCCTAAACCTTAAACCCCAAGCCCCTAAACCCCAAACCGGCATGACAACAGCGAAGATGTGGTTCAAACCCAAGTTGTACGCAGGACGGGACCTGCTTGAGCTGTTCAACCCTGAAACTCCCCGCCTCAAAGAACTACTGAGGGGGCCTGAATAATAAAACGAGGGGTTCCTTTAAAGGGATCCTTAAATGGGTTTAGGGTTTAGGGTTTAGGATTTAGGGTTTAGGGTTTAGGGTTTAGGGCTTAGGGTTTTAATGGTTCTATAAGGGATCTATAATGGGGATTTATAGTAGGGGCCTTAATATCTAGAATAGGGCTTTGGGGTATACTATACTGTAATTATAATAAGGAACCCCTACAATATATAGTATAGGTAATTATCTAGGCCCCTATATTAGTACCACCATCCGTGTTACACTTGTGGTTTTCATATTACTCCTACGGTGCTAATACTACAATGACTCACTGTTCCTGCTATTGGTGCTACTACGGCATGGCTACAAATTGGGAACGACAGGTGCAAGCCTGTAGATCATCTTCCTCCTGGTACCATGGCCATAATGACTCGAACGACAAACATTGCCAACTATATGTGCTGTTTAACCCTAACCGTTCAAGTACCATGATCACTACAATTCTCACTCGTAGTGGCGAATGCCGTCTGATTCAACAGTGAATCCGCATCCCTGGACATGTGTAGCAAAGCATGCTTCTACCCACGCCATCGCCCTCAACAACAACAAGTATGAAAGGCTATAAACTCTTGTAAAACCTTATGAAGCTTGTGAGACACTACACCCTCAACCCTTGATACACTCTAAACCCCTAAACCCTAAACCCCTTAACCCTAGACCCCTATAGTACCCTTGAAGATCCCTTTAAAGGAAACCTCGAATCCCTTTATAGGAACCCGGGTTTAGGATTTAGGGTTTATAGGGTTTAGGGCTTGGGGCTTGTAGGGTTTTGGGTTTAGGGCTTATAGGGTTTAGGGTTTATCGTTTATAGGGTTTAAGGCTAAGGGTTTATAGGGTTTTCAGTGTTTAGGGCTTATAGGGTTTAGGGATCCCCTTCCTAAACCCTAAACCCTAAACCCTAAACCCTAAACCCCTAAACCCTAAACCCTCAACCCTCCTTCCTTTGCCGACTCAGCCGAGTCCATTCAGGCTCACCTGGGCCGCATCGGGCCAGTCAGAGGCTTCTCCCAAAGCCTGCACGGGAAGAGGGCTTAGATTTCTTTCTGGGTTTTTGTTGAAGGGCTTCGGGTTTAGGGTTTAGG